GATCACAATTTTCAGAAAGATTAAAGTGACCAATTTTGAACAATGCCGAAGTTTAGAAAGAGTCCTAGATAAGCTTGCTAGCTATTTTGTGCTCCTCTGTCATATTTCATCCTTGCGTTTTCTCAGTTTAGTTAATGTGGCTGTGCAAAAAGGCTATTTTTGAAAATAGAAGCATTTATTTCAAAAGAATTGTCAAGCCTATTATGGGCAGCATCTTTACACCGTTTCAGCGCGATAACACTTCACTTTGTTTCCCATCCCCATCTCCTTCGCCTCACCCCACCCCTCCGCAAGTTCGTTCCTCGTCTCACCTACAACGCACGTGTGCGCGTTTTCGGGGCTGACACTTCAGTAATCAGCAGGCTATTTGTAACCCCTAGCTCCCTCTAAAACACTCGAGCAACAAACCCACAGCAGTAGCAGCAGGCAAATAATTTGCGTCCCCGTTTACTTTTTACAACAAACACCACTATTCCAGACCAAAGAAATGCACATTTTCAAAATACGGTCGGTATTTCCTGATGCTTTATTTTTTCCAAAACCTATCAGATTTTTAAACTAGTCTTGACTTCGCAGTTAAGGGAGAGTGGGCCAACTGGAATTCGATACATAATCATGGAAATGAAAGGAAGCAACATTTTGACTACAATAGCTCTGATCTAAGAGAGTCGGTGCTGTACATGAATCAAGTGTTAAAACGTAAATGATATTTACCAATCTCACTTACTTCAATTTTTCGATTTACCGGTTTTAGAGGTAGCATTACTAACACTCCAATGATTTCAAAATTCTCATTAATTGCTTAGTAAAAATTTTAAAGATTCGCATTTTTAAAGCTCTTCCATTTGCAACCCCCTCTTTAAAATGTTATTTTGAACTGTATTTTCAATGAACAAGTCAGAAATGCACTTAAAGAGCAGGTAATTATTATTCACTGGTAAGGACTGAAGTTAGAAGGATTCAAAACGCCTTCCCCTAAATAAAAATAAATTATTAGACATTTTAAAATAGTAAAACTATGCATAACATTTCTAGATTAATTATATGTGTTACTTTTATAGTTGAGAAACGTTGAATCATACATCGACTCAGTATCTTACTTGGATGAAAGCAAATGTGCATCCAGTTCCATGAGCTCAAGGAGTCTGATTGGTTCTTCCAGCCAGGCAAAGGTAATTGGAGGAAACGATACCAACCGGACTCAAACCAAGAACGATTCAACGTCACCGCTCTACGTCTATCGCCATTCAGTAAGTCGTAAATAGATATCAGATCCCATGAATGTTAAAATGAAGATCATTTAGCACCATTCCCTGTTAACTTGTTTATCTTTTTGAGTCTCCACCTGGTAAAATAAATCAGAATGAACAGCTGGGAGCTATGGATGTTTCTCAAGTGGGAAGACGAGGGTCAATCTCGGAGAATTCGAGCCTGTTTCACCAATGGCCTCCCTATGTGGATCCCACTAACTCTCAGGTTGAGCTTGCAGAGGATAGTGGCTACATGAATTCGATCCTCAAACACCTTCAATATGGTCTATCTAATCAAGTCAAGAGTCTGGATCTCATCGAGGACCAAAATAAATTACCCGATGATACTGTCACCTTTACAGCACGTCAGGACACTGGTTTGAACTCCTTAAACAGTGCTTCCGCCAGCGGAGACACTTCCTTTCGTCATTTGCAATAACAAACTGATCGACCGACCATTCGAAGTACCAGAAGAGCTGTGACCAACATTTTGTTTCTTCATTTTGTTATATTCCGTTCCCGCTTTATCAATCTTGTTACAGCCACCCATTCCATTCTTTGCGTGTGGATGTGTGGATGCAAAATTATGCCTCAATTCTTGTTTTACGTTTGCAGATATTTTGGTGAAGTTAAACTCCCCTGTTCCGATTCGCTAAGAGGAATGTTGTTTGGTCATATTTGTTGTAATGACAGACAAACAAACAAACAAGCGAGTCATCTATGCCGATTCTCTACTGTACCATACACCACCTCAAATAAACCAGGAGGGTGTTCGCGTCGACAATGCGCTCGTGCCGATTTTGTTTCCGGCAGGTGCTGCAACAAAAATAATAAAACAAATTTATTCCTTGATTTAACATTGCCCTTTTCGTTTAACGGGTACTCTTGGCTTAGGTTATAATTTTTTCCGTGTGGTTCATTTTACCATCATTTCTAAATAACATTTTAACAGAAGTAGGATAATGTAATAATTTTTCTGCATTAAAATGAAGTAGTTACATCCATGTTGATCTCATTGAGAAGAAGACATCATGATTGAGTCCGAGTATTTTGCATACTTGGGGTCGATTTGAAGTATTTTGTGAAATGAATTTGATGGAACTTTCTCTTTTTTTTTATTGATTTAGGAACTCGATCACTTGAACCTTATAATGTCCACAATCAAAGAAATAGAGAGGTGACCTATGTTCCTTAATTTGTAGTGGTCGGTTGCACCGGACCTTGGCACAAAATGTCTAGCTAACTTCGAAACAATGCAATAGGAGTGGGACTTTAGTCGTTTTGGAATAATTGTCATTTTATAGTTTTGAGCAGCATTTTCCGCAAAATAAGGCTCCGGTTTTCCTCTAGAATTAGTGGCGAAGGTGGTATTCTAAAACAACACTTGTTACATAAAATACTGGTCGTAATTAAGATAACCTTCAAATAGCGATTTTTTTGTTTTTTTTTTTAGTATAGCGATTACTCGTAAGGACAACACTACTAAGATCGTTAGCTCATAAAGAAGTGGTGCTTTAAATTCCGGTGGTTTAAGAAGTTCCATTGTACAGTGTCACAATTATTTTGATGGTTTTATGTCCGATTCGATCAAGCAATCACATTACTTTGATTTTGGCCAGCAGTGTTACTTAAAAGGCGAAAGGTACCGCCAAAATAGATGTATTTTACTGGCCAATTAATTTGTTCTGAAAATATTTTTTTAAAAAGGCAATTGTATATAAATGTGTACTGAAGCCTGTTTCAATTATCACCTAGTTAAGGGTATAGTGTCCAGATGGTAGATTTATTATTGCATGCGATGTAGTATAGCTTTAGATACACGCTATTACTTAAGTGTTCTGCATTGGGTTGTTTAACAGCAAAAAAGATTCTAACACTTAACGAAAAATCCAAGCCTGTTTTAAAACTAGAACCCTTTTTCTCCTCCCACTAGTCAAAGTGAGACAGCTCTTTTCCCTAATCGACCTCATCCTGGCCAATCAGATTATTCTTGCCAGCACAAAGTAGTACGTGGGCACAGACGCGTCTCTGTGGGAAAAACGGACGTACGCACATATCCAAACGCACAGTGAGCCTTCTTGCCTCCTATGTTTCAGCCTCTCCTCATTACCACCCTCATTCTGTCCACTCCCTTACATGGTGATTCTAAGTCCCCTCAAATTCGTAGACTCTCATCTCGGCCTATGGATGCCATCTGTCCCTCCTACTGCGAGTGCCTTCGAGAAGAAACCAATGATGGTGCGTCCGCTTATTCTGTCGAGTGTCACATGGGAACCAATACCCTGCCCATTGCTTGTGCCCAAAGATGGGTGAACCTGAAACTCAATCTGTACAATTACACAGGTCCACTACAGCCCAGATCATTTCACACCAAACCCGTCTTCTCATATTGCCACGAACTAGTCAGTTTGTACATTCGTCAGACAGGCGAAAACCCAGTTGGTCTTGCCCTTCGTTCTCTGCTGCAGGGTCTAATGAACCTACGCCGCGTCTGGTTCCATCACGTTCACTTGGAAAGTGACGGTGTGGAGGCGTCCAATTTCTACAAAATTCCACCCAAATTGGAACTTATAGCCTTCTCTGATTGTTCTGTAACCCTAGATGCTAACAAGCCGTTGTTTTTTGACACGCCAACAAGTCTGCAGCAGCTGAGACTCACAAATGTTAGTCTGACTGGATCTCTTTCGAGTCGACTACTGGTGAACCTTTGTCACACCTCAAAAAACGCCTTCCGACCAAATGACATTGTGTCGCTATATTTAGATCGGAATCATCTGAAGAGCTTAGATAGGAACAGTTTATTGGGCTGTCGAAATTTAAGGGTTCTACAGCTCTCCTACAACCACCTGGCTGGAAGTCTCGAGGAGGTAATGGGCCTGAGTTCACAAATCTTACGACAAAACTGGGCAATCAAGAAGACCCTGGCAGCGGCAGAGACATTAGAATATGGAGTCCTTGGACACACTCCACAATTGGAAGCTCTAGATCTTTCCGGAAACTTTATAACTGGCATTAGAAGTCCTTTGTGGGCGTATGGTCGGGAAGGTACTAAAATCCACAGTCTGACCGAATTGAAAACCATATCCCTCTCCAATAACAACCTCACCTACATTGTCCGCGGTGCTTTTCAGGGAGCACCTAACCTTCGTGAAATTGATCTCTCTCGAAATCCTAGGCTCTTTTGCCCAATGCATTTGGAAACACCAGCCTTCTACTCCTATATCGACCCCTACATTTTCGGTGGAATCCAGAAACTAACCAAAGTCTATTGGGACTTCGCAGACAAGACGTGTATTCTCAGCTCTATGATGTCTGAATCCAGCTATGGTGTCCTCTCTGAAGGCCTATTCAAACTCTTTGCTTCTCGTTCCCTTTGCTTAAGCGAGGTTTTACAAAAGCCATCTGTCATTAATGAACGAATAACTCACTCAAGTACAACCACATCAGTAACTGATACGGATCAAAAAAAACTACCTGCGGTAGGACAGTCAGTTGAAAAGTCGAGAACCTCATCCTTATGGGCTCCGATTGATATGGTCTCCAGCTTTCTTTGTGGCCTTATAGCACCTTTACTGATTGTGCTTTTTGTAGTGTTGGCAGTTCGAAGTAAGACCCTTTTTGAGGTAGTGGTCAATTGCTGTGACAGAGGTAAAGGATGTCCCATTTTGAGTAGAACGGAAAATCATCCACCTGGGGAGCCACCGGGACCGCGCAATAGCCCTTGCTATACTCTGCCTTCAAACGGGAGAAGACCAGGGCTTCTCCTATTATGCGATGAAGAAGCGGAACGTTTGAACAACGGTCTGACGAGCAGTAGTCTACAGAACCTCTGTCTGGCCTGTCTGGACCAGCCGACAACTAGTTCTGCGGCTGCAATGCAGGCTCAGTCATTGGAGTTCTACGACAACTGCAAACATTTAACTACGAGCTTTCTGGGGGGTGGAAAAGAATCTGCACATCAACAAGTTAGAAGAACTACTGGAACGGAAATTACGCGCGTACTGGCTGGGTCACAAGAGAGGTCCTTAAATGGCAAAATGAACGTCAACGATTGGAATTTCATTTGATCTCTGTTGATGTACCCATGTCAACCCGTTTGCTTCCGCATATATAAAACGAATTCATTCATCAATTAAACACCACTGTCCTAAAGTTAGTCTTTCGCTTTTATATCACCTGTTATTACGATTCATTCGATGTAGAGAGGTGCGAAGGTGGACATTGAAAATAAGGATAACTGAGTTATTCAGGCTACTTAAATTTGTTAAGTAAAATCAATTTAACGAAGAAAAAAGCTACTTATGCTAAGAAGCCACTCCGACAAAGAATTTTATGATCAGCAATGGGACATTCGTCAAATGATCCTTCGATTCAAAACATCTCAAATTATTTTAACAGTAGGAAGTGAATGAGAAGGGTGGAATATAAACACACAAGAATGACATTATCTAGCCTCAGATTCCCCTGTGGGAGACTGAATAAAAACACTGCCACTTAATTGACCACATTAGACTGGTCGCAGAAATATCTAATACGATAGTGGTTTATCTCCCGGTATTGGTGAGGCACATCTTCTGTACTTTGAATTAGCCCTCATGTACCTCGCTGGGTGGGCTGGCCTTTTGGACCATGTTAATAACCCAAACGCCCTCTCTGAGCTGAATACATATTCTGCCTAAGTATTGTGTCTTCTTTCGTCTTCAGGGAAGTCTCGGGATGCTACAAATGCGCTACCAGAACACCTTCACGTAAAACGCCTTTAAGTCGAATTGTCTTGTGGTTTTCAAATGATTATCACATAGTACTTTTCCAATTTAAGCCTGGAAACTACGAAGGTAGCCATTTGAATTCGATTTTTATTAGGAAATACCGTCCAGGTAATATGGTACTAAAAAATGCTAATCATAAAAGGGCTACATACTTAGATTTTTGGATTAAGTTTCGAATGCTTCGCAAAAAACAAGCCCTTTTTACCACTCGAAATGGTATATCTTCCATAAACACACATAAGACGTGAAAATATCAAAATAGCATCGAATCTTGCAACCCAGTTTTAGTGTTCCACAGAATGATTTCGGTAACCCAAAACCTACGAATTCTGACCTATAGCTTACCTTGCAACTAAGAAACACTAATTTTCAATATTAGATAACTCACTTGTCTCATAGATTTTTGCATATTTTTAAGATGCAATCCATTAGCGCACTAAATTTTATGAAAGTGTTTTTGTAATGCTTGGCCTTAGTTATAAAATTAAACTTTATGAAGAAGTTGACATGAATTTTTTGTCCTAGCAAATTTACTGAGAAGTATGTTTTTGAAATCTTGCATGTGCTTATATGCATCATTTGAAGGTCACCTGGAAAACTTCCGCGAAAACAAGGTGGACCATATTTTATTCCACGTAACTGTTCATTCTTCCGATTTTTAAAACGTTAATCGTATAACGCTTGTAAAATAAACAACATTTTAACCATCAAATGTTAGCTACGTTAGTAACACAACACTTCCAAGAAGATTAGTTTAAACGTGGCTACTATTCCAATTAGTAACTTTTGTTTTATGGTTTAGTATTCATTTATGGTCTCGTTTTTATCTCTTTACTGTCTTAAGCATTTTAGCAATAATCTTTTTAACTTAAGGTATTTGTGCACAACTGGTGTATAAATAGCGACATTACCTACTGAGGAGCTTGATTTTAAGCTTCTGGAACTACACAAAAGCGGAATTATTACTAATTTCCGGTGCACAATTGAGCACAATTTTTACAAGTCAACCTGATGTTAGTATCAAGGTATTGCTTTGGACGGATTCTCACGAAATAGAAAAAGCTAGTATTGAAACAGTTTTTTTCCGTAAGTCCAGGTTCCGCATGAAAAATTTTCACTAGTTTACATGTTTTTCACATATTCATTTTATTCAATTATTTTTTAGATTTTGCAAAAATAAGTGCAACTGAATGTATACTGGTCAAGATTAATAGACCATTGGCGTGATTGGTTGCTGCTGTAATTTTTCCTTTAGCCGGAGTTTGTTCTTTTTTAAGCTATTATTTACAAATCGTATTATCAAACAAATTACCTCATTTCTTCTGAATATTGACCGTTTTGGAAGCAGTAATGCGTGGTTACAAATCATTTCTACCTTTAACTATATTTACAAATGGATTTGAATTGGATGGAAATTAATTAGTTGTGGTAGACTTTGCGTTTAGTCA